CGGACAAGCCTCATGAGCATTCTGAGTCTTGCACCACCCCCCAACAGCAAAGTTGTCGCTGTGTATTATTTTTAGGACCTAAACGGGGTGTGGGCCCCGGTGGGACCCGGGTGGGATCCCTGCGGGTCCTATTTATTTCCTAAAGAATATTGAAAAAATCGCGGGTCCCTGCAGGTCCCCTGCGGGTCGGACCCGTGGACCCGGTGGGACCCATGAAGACTTAGATGGGCTTAGGTGGAAAAACATGGAAGCCGGATGCATGGCTTGGAAGACCTTGTTTAGACGTTCGCACGATTGTTTGTTGTTTCTTGTTGTTTCCCACTCGCTGATTAGCAGCTCCTGCTAGCTCAAAATCTGCACAAGTGGTGCCACATGTTGAAATGTCTGCGAGTTGCATTGCTGAATATGGATGGTGTTTGCGTGTGATGAGGATCCTCTTTGCCCATTCCAGAATCAACATGCTTTTGGTTAGTTTGCGTTGTGGTGGTGGGTGGTAGTGGTGGTGCTGCTACTGTTGGTGCTGGTGTGGCAGTGTGTATGGTGCTGGCATGGGTGATAAAGTGTGGATGGGTCGCTTTAGGTATGATGTTGTTGTCGACATGTTGCGGTCTGTGATGAATCTGGCCGGGCTCAGCTGATGTCACATGCCCCGAAACAGTCACACAAGGGTAGCTGCCATCGTTGAGCCAATGAGTCCGATGCAGCCCTACTGCAATCAGTTTAGGTGTGAGAGGTGTGTGTTTTTGTTGTTGTCGTTGCTGTGCCAAGACGTGCTTCCAGGTCTGACGGATTGGGGCAGTCTACAGATGAGGCAGACTACAGCTCGATGCCCTCATCAAGTCGTTCTGTGTAATCTCGGAGGCCATCGGCTCCTCACCAGCACAGCCTTCCGCAGTGAGCAACAATGCTTGGGACTTAGTTACGTAGTCCTGGGTTTCGCGCCAACAGGTTGCGGCCAGGTTGCAGATGTCAGTAGTCGTGTGGCAAGACATTGACGGTGCGGAGCAGACCGAACACCGACCCAGGTTGTTCCGCCAAGCACTGCAGTTCAAGCTGCTGTCGTGGACATGCCAACAGGGATGCAGGATTTCTTTGCACGAGTATCTGTCGTCCAAGCTGTTGCAGTAGTGCAATGTGGCTGTGTGGTGCTGTGACGGATTTCTAGGCAACAAGAATCCATAAGGCACTTGTCAAACTTGTGGTTTCCAGAGTGCTCTCCATATTTTTCGAATGCGAAGCAGAGGCTCATTGTCAAATCATGTGTGTACCGCAGGGAGGCGGGGTCATGAGAAGTCGTCGGCCGAGCCTTTTACTTCGAGCTCACGCTATGGCCTTGTCTCTTAGGGATCGTGGCATGATAGCTGCAACATAGCCCGACGACGTGTGTGCATCATCGAGGTGGCCTTCCGCTTGGTGCTGGGGCTTTCCGTTGCTGGTCTCTCACATGCCATTGGCCTGCAGATCAAAATTGGGCATGTCACAGTTCGACCAGAAAACTCTAGTTCCAGGTGCTAAGCGATCCCGAGCGCCTTGCTGCTTTATATGCAAGTCCCGGCCCGCTGAGGATGCAACCGATCTCCGAAGGCTGCAAGCTGAGGACTCCGACAGCAGGTTTCACCAAGTGCAGGTACCTGAAGGGAAAGTGGCCTCAGCATGTCCAAACTATCATCATGTACTGGTGAAGATGCAGGGTAGCTCCTGCATGCCACCTCTTGTTTCGCTTGATGCAACGGCTTCGTGTGTTAGCGTGAAATCTTTGCTTGTAGTAGGAGAACCCTACCTCAAGAGCTCACCGTCAGTGCGGCGAAGGAGTTTGGAATCACCTTCGGTGTGCCAACTGGCGATGCAAATGTCATCAAGGTCTTGCCCCTCGCCTCGTTGTGTCAAACTGCAGGGATGTGCCGTGCTTGCGGCTCTTCGTTCTGCATGTGACGACAGCATGCCTTGTACGCGAACATGTTGCCATAGACTGTTCAAGCCATCCGAATCCCGAGCTTTCTTTGTTTGCATCTGCTTGCCTGGCGCTGAGAGACATTTGGATTTGGCCTAACCGCTGCCCCTTGCACCTGGGACGATTGTAGATCACTGCAGCAGGGACGCGATGTTCGCCGACTTCAGCTGCGCTTCCGCATGCAATCCTCCCAACCCCTCTGCCAACACGGTGAAGGCGGAGCAGAGATCACTAGTAAGTAACTAGTAATTATCTGTCGTTTATTCTGTATGGATGGGATGTCGCCGATTCCAATGTCACAGGTCAGCATGGAAGATCTGGCCAAGCGTGTTGCAGAAGAGCAGGCCAGCCTGCGCTCGACGATACATGTATTGGCAGTAGCTTGTGTGAATGGGTTTCGAAGATCTCCGCAGGTCATCGGTGTTTCAGGCAGGATCCGAAGCTCTCTGTGTGTGCAGGCTGTAAGGGAGGAGGAGGACAGGCGCCGCAAGGCGGAGGAGGAGGCTGCCAAGGCTTCCTCAGCAGAATGACATGCCTGCGAACAGAAATTAGACGATGTGTTGACGAATCACAGGCCAAACCAGCACTCTGTTTGGTTCGGGTGCCTCGATCTTCTTGATTGCCTGATCTGATGCCAGGAGGCGGTTCGTCAGCAACGTGAGAAGGAAGCTGAAGAGCGTCGTCGCAAAGAACAGGAGGGAGCTGGGATGCATTCTGTAGCTGTGCCTTTGATTGTGTTGGGTCGCCAGAATTACAGAATTCTGTTTTCAGATGGTCCTCATGCACTGAATTGCACCCTTCAGCAATGCCTGCACTCAGGCCACAAGCGTAGCTCTAGTTACTAGTTCAGCAGGTTGCCATTATGGAGCTCAAGACCTACGTGAGCAGGAGGCACAGCGTGCACGCCTGGAGGCTGAGCAGAGGGAGAAGGCCGGGAGCATTTTGTGAAGAGCTCGCTTGCACAAGATTTGTGAGATCAGTTGGGGGCTTTCGTCTAAACAGCTCTGAGATGCTGAGCTTGCCGAGGAAGCCAAGGAGGCTGCTGAGGCAGAGAAGGCCGCTGCTGAGCAGGCTGAGAAGAAGCGCCAAGAGGAGTGCTGGGATCTATCGCATTTTACAACTGGTGTTCAGTTCACCGGGAGACCAGAGCTTGTGCTAGGAGTTGGCACAGCACAAGAACGAAGTGATGGCATGGATCAAGAAGCAAGGCTCGATCTTCCTTCATACGTGCCCACAGGGTTTAACATTTGGGTCGGGAGCAAACCTTTTCTCCAGAACTGCTGCCTCAACTTTTCCCTACGCCAGCAGAGGATTCGTAGTTTCATCGGAATCTTCCCCCCTTTGATAGCGTGCTTGATGTCTACTGCAATGCATTCAGACGATTGGTGGATGTGAGCTTAGCGTTTAGCTTTTCCCTTCGCAGGTTTCACTGGCATCAACAATGTCAAGAAGTCCTTCTTCAGCAGCACGTACCCGCTGCACAAGGCTGCAGAGGTGGGAAATGCAAAGATGGTCTGCTTCCGAGTGGGTTGCTACTCGTATTGTAGCAAACAGCAGCGGTTGAGCTTCGATGCTTTTGTCAAGTTAGGTCAAACTGCTGCTGGAGCAGGGGGCAAACCCGGCTCTGAAAAACTCGGCTGGCAAGACCGCCCAGGAGGCGTTTCGAGAACCAGAAAGCATGGCTGGATGTGTCCGCTTGCTACTTCGGAAGTGGGAGTCCGTGAATCGGTTGGGACTGTGCAGGTTGTTCTTCAGAAGAAGAAGGGCGAGTCACACAAGGAGGTGCGCATGCTGGTGTGCGAGAGTTGCCACGGCCTTGTTGGCTGCCACTCCCAAAGGTCCTGTCGCTTCTGTCAGATGCTGCTGGAAGAATGTGAGCGCCAACGCAGCGTTTCGGCAGGCCGTAGTGCAGGATGGGTGAATAGTTTCCGCAGTCAGAATGACTTCAGCCTCAATTCTTCTCAAATTATTTTTTGTGAGCCTTGTGCTATGTGCTTGCCGACGAAGTCTTCTCTTTTGCACAGGTCGAATTTTGCAACTCAAAAGTACCTGAACACGTCTGCTTGCTTGCTGTCTAGTGCTGCGTAGCAGCACTGGCTGCAGATGGGAGACCTGTTCGCGGGAATTTCAGCGCCATCCATGAGCGGTGCGCAGTGACTTGCACTTATTGATGCCTGCTTCCGGCCGGGAGTGCCAGTGGAGGTGGCATTGTAATTCGCTTGACTCGCACTCCATGTGTGAGTTCCTATAGAGCCATATGACATAATAGCCTGCAAGTGGAGGATGTTTCGTGCAGTCCTTAGCTGCGCAAACGTCTCTGTGCACAGAATGCAGCACAGCACAAAAGACATTGCCTTCCAGAGTTGTCGGCATGAGTGGCTCAATGATTTAGGACAGTTACGAGATGGTGCTTGTAATCGAAACATGCAATGTGAGGTGCAGGTGCAAGAATTTGATGCCGAGAACCTTACCTCCGACCATTCCGCTTCGTCACTACACGGGCGCATATGTCGTGTTGCTAGCCCTTACAGTAGCCGGTATGGGGCGATTCTCGGAAGATCTGTTGAAAGTTAGGCCATGTTGCATGCTCTTCAGATTTCACCTTCGCTCACCTCGATTCTTCTGTATTCTGCTCTAGGTCTGTTCTTTCAAAAGCACCCGCCACCGAAACTTCGACAAGTTCTCAATTTATGTGTTGTTGAGCATGTTGTTGCCTGTAGAGAGAGTACGAAGTGCCTTCCTGCTCTTTCGAGCAGCTGCTCGACATGGGAGGCTGTAAAGCGAGTTGTCGTGCTGTCTGTTATCAGCCTGGTGGCTCAGAGTTTCTTGTGCCAAGTGCCGCATTCGCATCAAAACCTCACAGTTCTCACGTCGAATGCAGGCTCGACCTACTATATCTGCGCTTTCATTGCCAGATTGCTCCTGGGCCAGTACACCGACCCAGGCTTGGACAGCAGCTTTTGCTGTGCGGACTGCAGGCTTCCGACGCTTTGTTGAGGTGATCCAAATTCCCCAGACGAGCTGTGGTCGGGGTGCAGTCAGCCTGAACCCTGGACTCTAACTTATGTATGCACTCTTTGCTCGGCTGACCTACTCAGGCTCATCATTGAGCTCAGCATCCCTGCATGTGGATATTACGGAGCATTGTACACCCACAGGACAGGGTTGGAGCACAAGGGCTAGAGCGGACCCAGAGTTGCTCAGCAACCTCGACAGCTACGAACATGCCCACAAGGGACTGGGAGTCGTTACATGGTTACATGGAACATGACGCGGGAATACTGATATTGAGTAAGCTACTTGTAGGCAGGGTTGGCACACCTTACTGTTTGCCATGTGTCCTCTCTGCTCAGGACTTTACTCTTTTTCTTTTGTGGCGCTAACCTTATCTTTGTGGTCGACCTCTGAGAGCGTTTCGGCCGCTCAGTTGGGGGTCTCGAGCAGTGGGACTGTGTCTCCGAGGTGGCCTACAGCATCAACTTCCTGCGGTACGTCATCCGCATGGGTGGTGGGGCCGAAGCGCCCGAGACCCTTTTGTCTGAGGAGCGTCGTGTGGAAGCGCCTTCTTTTTCTTCGTCTCTGAGCACCTGAGGTGTGCGCTTGAGGCATATGCTACGCAGCAGCGAGACTGCGAGCTGATGCACAGTTTGTTTCTCAGCGCTGGTGTCTGGTTTACAGTGACGGCTTTAGAAGTCTCCAGAAAGGTGATGGACCGCTTCGCTACCTTTTCCTTGGCAGCCTGGTGGTAGCCGCCCGAGAATGTTGGGCACGAGTAGCACACCGACGGAGCATCTCTGTCCAACAATCACCCTGCTCAGATTCTGACATGGTTCAGCTGTCTTTCCTTTGGCGCCGGCAAAGGCTTGTACCAGGTCGGGCTTGCCATGTATTTCTGGGTGTGCTGCTCTTCACATGGGCCTCTTTCAAATCAGTCCCTTCCCTTGATCGCAGGGGCTGGCGCCCGGAGATGGGCATCCGTACTCGTGCGGACCTGAGCCATGAAATCTGCAAGTTGTCGCATAGAGCTGTTGTTTTGCATCCCCGGGCTTGGTTGTCTTCTGCTTTCCACGGTGTCTGCATCAGAGCCCCGCAGGTCTGTTCCCGTGGTTGGGGAAGTGATTGCGACTCCAGAGGCTCGTTTGACACTTTGCAGTCTGTGCTTGTCGTAGTGGATTGCTATGGTTCTTGTCCTTTGCAGGGCTCTGCCAACGAGAGTGGATCGAGCTCCTCCCCGACTCGCCGTCTGCCAGTTCCCGAGTGAACGGTGGGCAGTGGACGCATCTCCGCGCAGCAGGTTGTGGATCTGCGTCACTCGAGAACAGCAGCTCTTCGCTTGTGTGTGTGGGGGCTCAAAGTAGATCACTGCCCGGGCTTCAGCCATGGCACGGCGAAGCGCAGTGCAGGGCCCCCAAACTCGGAATCTGCATCTGCATCAGAGACCATCAGAGAGATCCGTGGAAAGGCCTGCGCTCGCGCTCCTGGCCTCGGTGGCCTGGTTGCCGCTGGCCTTCCTTTCGCCAGGCCCGCGGAACGCGAGCCTTGCATTGCCCTGCATTGCCCTGCTCAGCTCTGTCTCAAGCGCCAGGCAGACCGTCGCCGGAATATGGGCGACGTGCTATGCCGCTCGAACTTGGACCAGCCGGACCTTCGTGTAGCCGGTTGCGAATCCAGATGTCGTTCGCTTTCCTGGAAAGGTTGGCATGCCAAGAACCTTCTGATTTCGGCGTGTGCTGAGGATGGCAGGTGTTGCCGGATCTCTCTTATTCGATGCTGCACCTGACGCGCCTCGCAGTTGTCTCCAGCAAGCTGTCTCCAAACTGGCGATGCACAGCTCAGGCACACGCCGAGGAGGAGATCGACTTTACCAAAGTGCTGCGAACTGGCCAGACGCCTTATGCAAAGATGGACTATCAGGCACCGCAGTCAGAAGGGTGGGTGATAGCTGCAGTGCGCACGGAGCATCTTGTCGCAGAAACGGGAGGTTGCTGCTGAAGCGAAGTGTTCCCACTTCGGTTCCGATCCTGCCTCAGGTCTTCCGGGAAGGCAAGTGCGAACCAGCACAGATGGGCGACCTTGTCAGGTGCCCCGTGCACATACCCCGCGACCTTGGCTTTTTTCTTTTCGTTTGGGTTTCTGAATGCCTGCAGGGTGAAGCACCGAGCCTGGCTGGAAAACTTCGAGGAGGGCCTGCCCTGGGAGCTCACGCTAGTGGGCCGAATGGCCCTGCACTGAGGATTTGTGCATATTTGTGCTGACGTTATACTGGTTGTGCGCCTGAGGGCGCCTGCATGCGTTTGCATGCGCCTGCCATGTCTGAGGAGGTTGGGCCATACCAGACGCCGAAGAGGATCAAGGTTGGAAAGGCCACGGCACTCTTAGGTTTGATGAGATTCGCAGTATTCAGCACGCTCCCTGTTCGCAGACGCCTCTGACACCATATGATCCGCCTTCACTGACGGACGCAGTCCTGGGTATGCGCCCGGGAGAGCTGCGACGAGTAGTTGTACCTCCAGAGCGCCTTGTCTTTAAGCCATGCTGCGGGGAAATCTTTATGCGCACCTTGCATGTGTTGCTGGTAGTCCACTTAGAATCTAGAAATTGAATCAAGCGAGCATCAAGCAGCTCCCTCGAGGTTTGGCTTTGGCCCAAAGGGCAGGACGCACGGTTCAAGCAACGAGTAGAAATGCTGACCGAGTGCTGCATCCTCACATGTAAGTTCAAGACTCACTTATGTCAGGAGTGTGATGGAGCCTATGGAGGATCAGGCAACTTCGGTGCAGAGTGTTTGCCGGTGCTTTCACTGTTCTTTGCTTTCTCCAAGCTCCCTCGTTCTACTCCCAGGACATCCCGCCAAATGCTACGTTCCCTGGCTACCGCTTGAAATCACGTCGTGCGTGTCACTTGCTGAGCCCAGACCAAGACTGATTCCAGGTTGTACTACGAGATTGAGATGGTGTGGACTGGTCCCGCACAACTGTCTGGGTGCATTCAGCCCTTTGTCGATTCTGGAAGATACAAGCCCTAGGCTCAAGGTGCCCCTTGTCTGCAGCAAGAGCTGCGATTGGAGAGTACGAGCTTCCAAGCACTGCTTGGCAATTGGGTGCAGTGTTGCAGGCTAAGGGCATCACTGGTGTGACAGGCGCATAGGCAATAATTGGAAAAAGGAAACATAAAGAAGGCAGTCGCTCTCAGTGAGACGACAGGCTGGAAACAACTCTGCAGTGAGTATGTCAATTCTAGTCTTTTCAGGTCGCCTGTCGTTTCACTCCCCCCAGTTTTCCTGCTCAGTGTACAGGCTGGACCAAGGACGATGCTAGTATAGGCCTCAAGGGAAGAGCGCCGAAGCGAAGCAGCTCCAAGACGCATCTGCCGATACTTGATGAGATCGATGCGACACGCAAAAAGTCAAGTGTCATGGCAGATCCATAATCAGATGCCTCATGGAAAACGGCAAAGCTGCAATTCCGAGGGCCTTGTCCGAGGAGGAGCGCCGTGTAAACGAAATGGTTCGAGCCTCATTCCTGCTTTTCGCGATGTGCTTTCGGGTGGCCCCAAATCCCGGCACCTAGGCAGCTGCGCTTGCCTCAGAGGCAGCAGCTGCACGGCCATGACCGTGGCAGGCGAAGCCGCGCAGGCCAAGCTACCAGCAGGGTTCATTGCTCCGCTGCGCGTGAAAATCCAGCTTGCGTGTATACATGTCTGAGCTGGCCTGGAAATGCATTCGCTGGGGGTCGAGCCTGTCGTTGTGGCTTGATTCGACTGACATTTGAAGGCTGATGTGAAGACTTTCGTGGAAAGCTCCACGGCCGCTTCATGCTGTGGATCTTCTGCAGGTTTCACCGCATCTAGACGTTTCAAGCAGTGGTTGCCAGTGGCCAGCGGGGCCCGACCTTTCGGACAGGCTCGGCCCGGTCCCGACTGGGGTGAACAGCTCCTAAGACATCCTAAACTCCTGAACCATTCGAAGATGTCTCGAGTCCAAGTTGGCTCCTGAGCAAGTCCATGCATAGAGCCGATCAGGCTTGAAGCTCCGGAGTCCTTTGCGAATTCCGTTAGAGAGCTCTGAGACACTCTGGGGCCGCAGCCTGCTTGCAGTCTGCACCCATCAATGGGTGGAGCTGCGCGGAAGAGTGCGGGCAAGAGCACGTGCATCTTTGGCAAAGACCAGAAATCAGCTTAGCCAAAAGATCGCAAGGAGCCGTGAAGTGATCGGGCTTTATAGCACTATGAAACATCGTGTCGTGCTCTGGACTTGCTTCTCATATTCCGCTGGTTGAAGCCATGTGGCTCCAGCCAAAGACACGTTGGATGTTGCAACACCCATACAACAATTGAGCAGCACTGTAGCTTAAGTCCAGTGACGTGCATGGCGGATGAAACTCTTCGAGGTAGTGGTCTTGATGTCTGTCGTTTGTGTTCTGGTACTTTCTTGTCAGTCCGCCAAGGCATTCTCGTCAACCTTGGGGAGAAGGATGACAACAAAAGGAAGAAGGCCGCCACCTTGAAGTGTACGCAGCAAGGGACTGAAGGGACTGTCAAGAAGCGATCAACGATGCTTGCGGGTTGCGGGAAACGGGCTCCTTTTACGGCAACCTCACACGCAACATTGAAAGGGGCAAGCCACAGAGCCAATTCACACTGCGTTCACCAAAAGCCGTCAAGAGGGCGCTGCACCCGCGAGCCAAGCACATTGCAAACGGTCTGTTCATGCTCCGCATCGTCGGGTGCCTTCGACAATGGCAGACAGCCGAGACAATCAAGCCTTCGAAGGATTCTAGCAAAATCTGCGAAACGCGCTTTGTCGCACATGTCGCCGGTTCTGCAGAAGACTTGCCAACCCGTTTCGAGGTTGCAGCGGCATGCTCGTCCGTTTCTCTGCCTGCAGTAGGGTAGAGCTTTGGCGCGTTGCGGTTTAACAGCTTAGGTTCTGGCTGTGCTAAGGGCTTGCAGTCTTGCACTTTGACTACGGGTCAAGGTTGAGAGTTTTTCCCGATGTGGTCCCTTGCCGGATTGCCCCGGCAGAGTTCCAGTCTAGAGTAATCCACACTGGTGGCACCATGTCTGAATTCCTTAGTATTTCCAACTTCTCAGTTCACCGAGTAATGCATTGAGTGGCCGTTCTCCTGATGACCCCGCATGCACCGACATTCTGCTCACACGAGGGCGCATGCAGGGCGAGGTTCAAGGCTTCAGCGAAGCTCAATGACCGGAGTCGTGCAAAGCATACCACATTCTGCATACCGCTGCTGTCAGGCCGAGAAAGACATGTTTGACCACCTTCGCGGCTTCCTGGCGCCACCTTCGAATGAGGCCGGTTCGAATGAGGCCCCAAACATCAACGAGAAGGTCACGCTGCTGATTGCAAACATTGTCCAGGACGCGTCGGGGAGGGTTTGTTTATGCAAAGATAAGTCCTTCGCATAGCTCCGCTTCCAAGGACTTCTGCAGAAGTGCCTGGCCCGGGCCCTGGTGTTCCTATCTGCTTGCCGCGTCAGACCGATGTCAGTAGCTTGACCAACGTGCGCCTCACATTCAGTGTTCAACAGCATGCTCAAAGGGCCCGAATGTTGCCGGACAGCCTAGATGTCCCAAGGCCCAGCCAGAGGACCTCGGGGCTTGTCGCCCTTAGCATTCTGACTTTCGCCCTGGAGAAGGAGGGCGCCGGTGGAAGAGATGGTGCAATTAGTTGAGTCTTCATCTCCGGGCTCACAGGAGCGTGCCCAGCAGCATGCCGAGTTGCTTACGGATCCGGTGCTGGTTTGTTTCTCGGACGAGGAGAGAAGCGAGGCTCATATCACCTGCAATGCTGGGCTCAAGTTCAGATTTCTCATCGGCTTGCAGGACTCCCAGGTGAGATACAAAGCCTGTGAGGCTTTCTACAACATTGCCAAGGTGATCCGAGCTGGAATTCTTCGGAACATCAGTGGTGTTTTCGATGGCCTTTGCAGGCAGAGACGCTGCAACATCTGTGCTGTTTGTCGCTTTTCGTCGAACTTTGCTGCGAACCGGCTGTTCATCACACGGCTTCTCTTCTGGACAGGCTATACACAGACGTCGAGCAGAACATTAAGGAGGGTGCTCAAAGCCTGGACAGACTCATCCGTGACATTGTGATGGAACAGCGGCATTTCGACTTCGCAGAGTTTCTGGACTGACACTGTTATCGAAGTAACCATCAACCCACCAGAAATCTAGGGCAATGCTGTAGCTGCAGCTGATCATGTAAATGATTTCGTGACTTCCTGACTTCTCGACAAGAACTGCCGTCTAGGTATGTCTGCTTCCTGGACCCAACACAACAATCTCCACAGCAATCTTCTCACTGGTCTCATTGTTTTGCACATGTCGCAGCCAAGGCTGATTCCTTTGATCACTTGCAGGATCCACATCCTCAATCCAAATGCTGCTTGCTGCAGTTCGGAGTTGGCGTCACACCTGTGCTCCCTTCATTGATGGTTTCACACAGTTGTAATAGTTGTGATCTTATCTTCCTCCGACTGCTTTCAGTGCCTGGAAGCTTCGCAACAGAAGTTCCTTACACCACGCCTTCAAAGCTTGCCTAGTCGGACGCTGCAGCTCTAGTCCCGAAGTTGCAAAGTAAGCTGGATGTATGGCAAGACTTCGCAGTTCTGTACGCATTTCTTGTTCGTTTTCTAGCCTCGATTTCGGCATACTGTGCAGGACGTCGGCTCGTGGGTCAAGTAGGAGAGCGTATTAAGCTCGTTTCACATCTTAGCTTTCTCCCAGGAGCACGGAGGGCGACTTGTCCTTGTCTTGTCTCCATAGCTGGCAAGCGCGCGAACAGAGGTTCGCCAGCTGGTGCTCGGCTGGATCGTTCTGTTGGATTCTTTGCCACAGGCACCTGGCGAAGAGGGTCCTGCATACTAGCGTGTCTTGTGGCTGTCAGCCTTGTTTGTGCAAACCTCGCAGGTAGATATGATCTCCTTCCTGCCTCACTTTCTGGAGGGCCTTTTCAGCATCCTTGCAAGCGAGAACCGTGACTTCCGCATGAAGGTTTCCAGCTGGAGCTCAGGAGGGATCGCAGACAGTGTCTCTTTTGCCAGGCCCAGGACTGTCTGTTGAGCCTCTTGGAGCACATCCGACGCTCTGCTACAGACCGCCCAGACCGGACACAGCAGGCCATAGCCGAGGCCTGGCGCCTGGACTGGCAAACCATCGCCATCTTGCTTCGATCTCGGAAGGCCGCTTCCATCGTGGCACGCTGCTGCCGTGCCGGGGGCGAGCAGCGCTCCGAGGCCACCTGAGCGGCTTTCGTTCCTCCTGCCCCGCCTTGCCTCGGCCGGTGAAGCTGACAGGTGCCGCTGCTTAGGGTGTAGAGGTCTTGCCTCATGGCTGCTGCCTTTGCCCCGCGAGTTTTTCGTTGCGGTAATTCGCCAAAACACCCAAAACACCAAATCCGTCAAAAATCCTCTACCAAACCCGCCAGAAAGCCTCGGATGGATAGGATCTGGGCGGAAGGAACCCCAGGCCAAACACAAACAAGCACGAACAAAATAGCGTGACAGGAGTGCCACGTAGAGAGGATACTGTAGAACGCTGACGCTTCGGCGCATATCGTAGCTCGCACGTGTTTCAATCATTGCGGAGCTTTTCACAAGAGTTTTGTGTAGTGGATACATATGCTATAATTCGAGGTTGTTTGTCTTCTGGTGACGCACAATGCTATGTCTGTCCTGTGCCTCTGATCTGCATGTTTCGGCTCGGCGGTGGACGAAGGTCGCCTCGTGCACACAAAACCCACCGTTTGTTAGTACATTTTGCACAGACGGCAGGAGCAGCAAAAGTCCAAACATGGCAATACATTCGTTGCATGCATGCCGCCATGGACATGCAGACAGGCCAGTGGTTTTAGACCGTTGAATTCGGACAAGCGGGGTGTTAGTGCCACCTACGTTTGTGTGAGAACTCCCGAGGTGACTCCACGGCTGGAAGAGAACCTGCTGAAGAGCAGCAGTCTCTGATCGGCAGTGTCTAGGCAGATCCAAACTGTGTTGGCTGTCCCATGATCTTATTGTGGCGACCTGAGGAAATGCGGGTCATCAGAGGATTCTCCACATAGGTGAAGAGGCCTGGAATCGGCCGATACATGCTCGGTTTCCCCTGCTCTGGAGCTCCGTCTTCCAGCTCCTCGGTAGGATAATGTCTGCTCTTGATTGTGCTTGGATGGTGGTGACCGTTCATGTGACTTCTCATGACGTCGCGTGATTTGAGGATTATCGTTGGGATTGTGCTCATCATGGTCTTTACCTCGGCCATAGCTTCGGCCGGGGTACGACATCAACCGTCCGGCACTTAAGCATATTTCCGATACTGTTCTCGTTGATGGTACAGATGCTGCAGCTCGTTTTGGTGCCAAGGGCTCGATCACGTGGATCTAAAGTCAGCCTGAACGAGCTTGCTACAAGCGTCAGTGAACATTCACCTCCTTCCGGACCTTCCACCACTGCTTGCCGCCAAGGGTTACAAAGTTTTCCCATCAAGGCGGTCCTGCACAACAACTTGGCAGGCAAAGGACCTGATGGTGGCAGCGAGGGGCTTGTGTTCTTGGTGAGCCAAGAGTCGCACGGAGTTGAAATACGAGATTTGAAAATTTCACTGCACGCTCTGAGCCGTTACCATCCTGCACATCCTCACTGGAATGGATTAGAGGGAGAGTTCGCTTCCATCAACCAGTTTGGCGGTCGGGTGCTTCGAGTACGAATCCATGTTTCAGATGTTGCGGACAAGCCAGTTCGCTTAGATTATCTCCCAATCTTCATCTGCGACCTCGAGACAGATTCGGTTGCTTTGCGGGAGTATGTGTGGGCATATGGGCCTCACCAGGCATACTGGTCCCCAGAGACAGAGATTGGTCTTGACATGAGGGGGAATATCACAGAATACTGGCAGCAGGTCGTTTCTGCCGCAGCCCATCAGCAGGTTGGCAGCTGTTCTCTGTTTCCTCTTGGTCCTTCAGAAATCGTGATGCCGTAGGATCAAGGAATCAAGGCCAATAGCAAAGAAACCAGAAGTTTCCTGCTGCAAAAGCCCGCTGCAGCAAGGAGCATTCTGGGCCAGATCTGGGCCCAGACAATCCAACCTATATCCGGGAGCTCACTGCCAGTCAGGTGCGTAGGACAGTGACGCTGGTCTACCGAATCTTGACTCGGACTTATTCCGTAACTGCAGCAGCCATGGTCTGCATTAGACGTGCTTTCGTAGTGTGCTGACAGGACATGTCAGTGAGATAGAGCTGGCATTTGGATCTGAAGCACCAGCAGATGTTACTCGAACGTTTTTCTTTGCCTTTGTGGCTTTGGACGGATGTGACATGGAGTTGGTGACGTCTAGCACTTTAACTTCCACCGCAACCCAATCTACATCTACCAGTACAACTCCAACCACTAGCTCTGCGACAAGGGCCAGTTCAACTCTAACTACCTCAACGGCTTCCACGATAACATCGAGTTACACTACGTCGACGCGAACCTCGGCGACGTTCACTAGCACCACGGCGACTGCCGTGTTTGGCATTCCTCTGTTCGCACCTCCAGGTCTCTCCTGTGGACTGTGCTTGTATTGCTAGGGAAAGCAATGTGGTCGGTTCATTGAAGACATTTGGCAGGTGAGCTGCATTGGTGGCATGGTCTCAGGGAGCTGTCCCGCCTCAAGCGAGCAACTCTTTATTCCGTCGCTGTGGGCTGAGCTGATGATCTAGTTCTCTCCTTCACGTGACTTCAGACCTCTGCCTCCTGAGGCTCTGCTCGGGCTGGTGCTGCTCCTAGTGCTCTATTGGCTTTGTTGGGCTTGCCGTGCCCGGGAAGAGACAGGCAAGTCGAGTGCACTGAAGTTCTGTCAAAGATTTCGCTTCGAGATCTTGAAGCTATCATTGCAGGCCATGAGATGCGCGTCCTCCTGCGGCTGTAGCTTGATAACGTTTAGTAGAATCTTTAAAGCACGGCCTGATGCTGATTATCGTACCTACATGTGGGGACCAAAGCGGCCTATTTCTGCCAAGCAGAATTCGCAACAATCAGTCAGCCGTTGACCCGAGTCCCCGTAATTTGGGGTCTCATTGGATGCTGTAGTCGTCGGAATTGGGAACGATTCCATGCTCTGCCAGATGTGCGAGATCTACTTGTCTGCTCTGCAGACTTTAGTTATTTGATGGTATTCACCGCTTTTCGCTTCAGTGCAGTGTGTTCAGAACTTGAAGTTGCAAATGCCAGGATGCCAATGTGCGGCATGCATCTCAGACTTTTCCGAAAGCTTGGCTCTTCACTAGGTCACTGGGTGCCTGTCGAGCATTGTAGCGCAAAGCTTTGCCGGAGGATGCAGGCGCTGGAATGGCTGGTGGAGTCTGTAAAGCTCCAGGCGGGGCCCAGGCGGACTCCCTGGCTCCCGGGCTTGACTTTCTCAGAAGTGTGTTCTATGAAGTAGGGGCACTTCGGAGAGTGGAGAATCCAGCTGCTGCTACTCGTAGAGCCCATTCTTTAGTTTGTTGCAGGTGAATTTGGAGAGCGGCGTCACCTACTTCCTTGCAGGCAGTTGAAGAAGGGACTCTCTCAGCAAATCAATCCGACCTCGCTAGGTCCGCTAGGTCCTTCAGGCAAGCCATCGCAAGAGCTCCAGCTCCCGGCCTGGCTTCGCCCTCAGCGTGAGAGACTCACGAGCATGCCGAAAGATGACTTTGGTCTTGGTCTTTGACTCTTTGAAGGTGTTGCTCGAAGGCTCGAAGTTGCCTAGATTGGCTTTGCCGAGCCGAGGTTTCCCCCGAAGCACGCAGCACCCCGTGACCTGCCCGAAGGAGCATGGCATTTGCTGGCATCTTGAGTCGGTCGTGAATCTGATGGGCATGGTCCACAAGGGTGCGACGTCTCTCGGTGGGATTCGCTTGCAGGAGCCAGTGCTGGCTCGCAGGGAGGTGCGCAGGACAACGACGAGCTGAGCTTTTGTCCTTGCCCAGCAGTTCACGAGGCTTGCGGCAACTGATACCGGAGCTTCTGCCAGGGGTGCTGCCGGCGAAGTTCAAGCATATCTGTGTCGTGATGCTCCACAAGCTCTGCTTGGAAGTCATGCCAGGCACTGTATTGCCTAGACGATGCCGAGCAACAGATCCGGATTGCTGCTGACAAGGCAATGGGGCATATTGGGGTAGCTTTTGCTTCCAGGAGACAGGGAAGCCGATGAAACCGAGCAGCACGTTCAGAAGACTTGGAAGACTGTGGCAAACCGCAGACGACCGTTCCTTGCAGTGCGGACCACAGGGCGGAACCCTCAGACCAGTCCATTGCTGCCAGGCCAATGCCTTGCTGCTGAAGGAAACCTTGAAGCTCGAGAGCCCGGAGCCCGGCCGGGACCGGCAGGGCGGTTAGCGTGCAGTCTTCACGCTTCGAAAATTAGTAGCAGCCCACGAAAGTGCTTTGGGGAACACTCCAGAAGTCAGTGTTTCAGAAATACTTTCCTCAGAGCAGCGCTCAGCTCTCGGAGCGAGCTGCCTTGCGAGAGAGCCCTGGTCACGACCACTTTGGACGCAGTTACAGGGGTTTTCCTACAAAGCCCTGCGCGTCCTGTTGTATGTGTTTTGCATTCGCTTCGACTGCACGTGCATACAAAAAGAGAAAGAGTCAGGGGAGAGATCAGGCGGTGTTTGAAAGGATCTCGACATTTAGTGCGGCAGGAGGCGTGAGTTGATAGCACTCTTGTCAGTTGTGCCTGTACTACAGCTACTAGTTGTTGTGAGTGTTTGTGCTGGCATCCTGCCGCACACTTAGTCAATTGACGCGGTGACCTGGACCGTAGCATTTGCAACGGTCGCTCGCGGAAATGAGGCGCGGCTCTTGTCGTGTCGAGTTTTGGCGAAACTTGGGGCCTCACCGGTTTTGTAGTGCGAAGGGCTTTCAATGCCCGAAAGTACGGTGTCACAGCCGACTGTCCTTGAGGAGGGGGAGTCGGACTACCCTGTGCCAGTGCTCAAGCAGAGACGGGAGTCATCATCGAATGAACGGGGTTTCGGACGCAGACCGACATAGCCGAGTCCTTCTGTGGCCACAATCTTCAGTTGTTCTCATTTCTTCTCCTTCACCATGTCAGCCGGCCTGGGTGCATTGTGCGGAGGAAGTCGGTTGAGACTCCGGGCGCATTATCTCTGACAGCTGAACCTACGTCGCCCGTGTCTTCTCCCTGGCGCTTTCTGAACTGCCTAAGTATCCGCTGAGGTGACTTGCCTGTCGAGCGGATGGCGAGCGCGGTCATTTGTGCGATGTCTGACGTGGGTGGACAGGCACCCCGAAGTCACATACAGATGTGCACCCAAAAACATGGTCGGGTAATGGAAAAAGTGGGTGCCTCTTGAAGTAGCATTATCGCAATCCTTAAGCTGATGCTTCTGTTCTGTCTCTGCCATGCAGGAACGCAGCAAAGAAGTCTTGCTGAAATGCTTTGGTTCGGCCCACAGATTGTCCGCCAAAATTCCGTGATCCGCTTCACTCCGAGGTTGGGCTGATACACTCTTGGACCAGCTGCCGCCTTGGAAAGGACTTGCCCTCCAGTGCTCTGGCCGTGAAGTGACTATTGCAGGTGCCCTGCGCGGGTGGTGGAGCCTGAGGCTGGAAGAGCGCTGTGGTCGCAGCGCGTCGAAACCTTCCGAGCAGGTCCGAGACAGTTTTTTCGAAGCGGCACTGAAGGCACACTCCCTACTTGGGGCCCTTGATGTTTCCTTCCCTCTTCTCACTATTTTCCGGCTTGGTGTGCACGCAAATCTGCCTGCATCGATTTGTAACTTCGTACTTGGTTTTACGATTCTAGATCCATCTGAGCTAGGCTTTGTTGCGTGAGGAGGAGGAGGCCGGCCGCCACTTCCATCAACTAATGTGCCTCCGAAAGAGCGCTGTAGAGGTGGTCTCCACGGCTTTACGTTTCATGGCGCAGCTGGCCTCCACCGCCGAGACGCTGGAAAAAGGCAGCAAAGCAACATCGAGTCGAGAGCATCGTAGCAGCAGAGCAAGCGGAATGCAGGTGATGATCTGGTTGGCCACATGTGCGAAAGACTCTTCGACCTCATGAACAAGCAGCAGAAGCTACTCACGCGTCTCCTTCCGAGTCGGACTCTGAGACCTAGAGCATAATTGACAGATTCTAGACCCAGGTAGAGGTGAGCTCATCATCCGATTGATGTGCAAACGTCCGGGGCCTTAGGAGATGTCGCGACGAAAAATCAAGTAAAACTCGTGTATCATCAACAGGGTTATGATCAAACGTTTATCTTCCAGTGTGTTCTGGCCATGAGTGGTGCAGAGGTGTAGATGCCAAGCGGTTCTTCGCCGTGCGCTCAATCTTGCCCTCGGAGGGAGGCCACAGGTTGTTCGTAGCAAGCATCAATATCAGAAGTGTAACTTTCGTCCAGATGTGACCACAAGGCCACAGCTGCTCAGACGCTTGAAACGATAGAGGCGGGACCGACGCACCCTGTTCACCTTGGCCGGGGGGTTGCTGAGCCCTTCAATGGACTTGCAGGGTCTTTTCCGGCTGACCCTGTCAGAGAGTGTGACGAGCTTGTCTGTAGCCCCCAGTCTTCCTGGAAGGACCCACCTTTTGCACGAAACCTCGTGCAGGCGCGCGGCCCTTCATGCAGAAAGCTCTAAAGAAGAGGTAAGGAGTAGGCTGGATGGCTGCAAACCAGATGCTATCTGCTGAAGCATAGACAATGCTTCACATCGCATCGCGGCATTTTTGGAGGCTCTGAATCGTGGTCTACTGACTGGTCCAGAGACTCAAAAGTTTCGCGTGCAGAGCCCAGATTATTCAGATTCCTGGGTTTACAGTTCCGGCTCTGGAGAAGACGCGCGTCATGGTCAGCGTTGTGTGCTGTGGTGAGGCTCAGCTCCGTGCAGAGTCCAGCGGTCAAGTCGCTTCGGCAAGCTTTCCGTACGCCCTTCAGCATTCGTGTTTTTCTAGCTTCCCTGCGAAGTGACCTTTGGATTGCAAAGCGGCCGGCGAAAGTAGCGAGTTACTGCTTGCCATCAGGATGATTCTGATGAAGTCCTGGCTGTCAGGGGCTCGGCCGCTCCTAGCTGGCAGAGTTGCATCTTTATGATGGCCGAAGCAGCCTCTCCGATTGAACCTACTCTGCCTTCTTGCCTACCCCAAAACTCCGTCCGACTCCATCTTTGACGCAACAAGGTGTTGCCCAGTCAGTTCGCTGGCGCTCAGCTTCTGGATGAACTGGTCCGGGCCCAAGTCTTCGGATGTCGCTGGGACTGACAAGAGAGCCTTTGGTCCGATCAGAAACCTCGTTTGTGGGACGGAAACCTTGGCAGTTGCAGCAATAGTGCAGTGCAAACAGATTAGACACCGTCGGGAGATTCACCTGCAAAACTAGGTTCCAGTAGAGGCCTTAACGTGCATTCCGGGGAATTCGCTGTCAGAGGTACGAGCTCGCGGCACAGTTGGCCACGAGGCTGGCACACCTCAAGGGACCTCCTCATGAGGGCAGAAAGTTGCCAGACTTGGCATTCAGAATCGTGATGGACAGCACCATTTCTACTGTAGCTGTTTCTAGCTTCCATGCAGGCTTGCTACAATGCAGCGCACAGAGGAGATTGAGGCCTCGCATTCAGCTCTAGTTGCTGTTCCTGGTTCGGGTCCCGAAATTCTGGGGCATTTTCAGACCAGTCGATGCCACGGTCAGGAGCAGCTGAAGGACTTTGTGGAGCTGTTGGAGTCTCCGGCCGACTTCTCTGGCTTCGGGTTGGGCTTGGAATCGAGGTCTTTGTTGAAGGAAGGCGCTTCTACACCTGCAGCTTTCAGGTCTTCAGCGACGTACGGCTACAGCTGCTGAACAGGTGCGGCAGAGCGTCACGAAGAATGAGTTGAGGCTGTGAAGGTTCAAGGTTTTGATCCACCCGCTGCCACGCGAAGTGTGATAGAGCAACCAAAGGGACCTTTCATTTCTGAGCTCAGCAAAAAAACAGATGTTCTTCGAAGGCTTCGTTCAGAAAATCTACCAGCATGGCACGCGTAAGTAAATTTGCTTCGAAGAAGCTTTCGACCGAGGAACCCGATGGGTTACTGCCATGTACTGCCAGGGGAGACTCCCAGTCCTCCGAAGTCGTGGCGCATTTTCCTGCCCTCCTCGTCTCCGAGTCCATTCTGCTTTGCTTTGTCCCTCTGTAGTGTCATGTCGTGTCTCTCTGGCTCTTGCCGACCCTCACTACTACCGCACAGCCGGAACCGAACAAAGTTGGGGCATGGAGTCGCAAGAAGACCGGAAGGAACACAGGGTCGAGTTTGCATTGCCATGCATTGCCCTTTCTCTCTGGCTCTTCTCAGAGGAAATCATTGTTTACCCGCTGTGCTCAGGTAGCCGAAAGAGCACACAGAGCGCAAAGCATGCTGGGGTTCGATGCGATGCGATGGAAGGAAAAAGACCCATCAGGAATGATCGATGAGGCAGCTTAGAAGAGTTTGGAGCAACTACACCAAAGGGCATGAGGATGGTTGACATGGCGCAGGCATGATAAGCCAAAGCTACCATCCATTTCAGGGTATGAATCCCCCATTGGCAGCAGTTTGAGAAAGTTCAGCATCAGGTCTCTGAATCTGCGAACGGCTTTGCAGATAGGAATCCTTGAGTGAAGGTGCATCGGTGCAGCCCGGACGAATCAACAATATCAACCATTGGAAGCAACCCGCAACACCTAAATGAGAGGGGAGACGATCCTGTTCAAGGCTCGGGTTCAAACGACTCTAAGGCTCTAAAAGGACCAAACTAAGCCCCAAAACCCTTCAAAAAGTACGGTTCTGCAGAAGCCCTGCAGGCGGCGGCCAGCGCTTCTCCGTGCGGTGCTCCGCCTCGCAGCACTGCTTCCGCAGGACGCCCGCGGCGGTTTTTTTATCCGTCTTCCACGGTTCGAGGTGCGCTGATAACGCATCCGCTCACCAACCGTGCCCCGATCATGGCGAAATTGACTGCAATGCTTCTGTTCACTGTGCAAAGCATGGGTTTGTGCAGTATGCTTCTCATCCTTGCACGGCCTATTTGCGATTGGTCGGCAAGTTATTTTCTGATCTGACGGTGTCCCCAACAAGGAGAGGGCGCTGCAGCGTCGTTTGCAAGTGGTCGAGACGGGACTTTTACTTGACCGTGTAACAGCCACTTGGACTTGCAACGATTTGCTGTCTTTGGTTTCCAGTCGTCACCATTATGGTACATTCTAATGAGAGTCTCAGATTTAGTCTGTCGGTTTCAGGGCACATGCTCATACCATGATGTAAAGTCATGGCTTGAGCCTCGAACAGGAGTACCCGTTTTAGGGTTTAGGGTTTAGGGGTTAGGCCATGAGTGAATAGCTGTGGGAGTTCTGGTAGGAGAGGCCTTGCTGCCTACTGTTTGGGGCCCAATGAAGCCCCTTGGGTCATTCGGATTGTTTCGCTCCAGAGTTCAACTGCGGGGTTGGTGGAGTATGTAGCGCGTACAATGTCTCGTTGCAGGAAAGTCAAAGTGACACGCAACAACAGAATCTTTGACTGCTAATCGTATAATGGAAAGCATTATCACGCATTCCAGTCGTCGGCTCGAGCTGCACCCTCCGCATGCACAAGCACAAGCCAAGCGTCCCATGAACAATTACTGGTCACGGACTGATGCGAGAGCTGTGCCCCAACTGCAGACTCTTCCTTACTTAGCCTTACTTGTGCTTCAACCGTGAGCGCTTCCTGGCCCTGCCATTTCTGGCTCTCAGAAGAGGCCTTGCGAAAACCATTGATGCGGCAGAGCTGCACCGCAGAGGCGGGACGAAATCGAGCACATCTGCAGACGAATCGGAGTTTGCACGTGGCCTTCCAGGGTTGTGCGTGCCAGGAGTAGGGTGTCGGCACACGACGGTCACTTTGTGCATTTTGTTTTGGTTGCAAGAGTTTGACAAGCCAGAGGGCAAACAAGGTGCAACCTTCTGGGTACCGTGCACAGAAGTGATCAGCACCTACTTCTGGAGGGTCGTGCGAGGAACACGCAGTTGTTTGAAGGCAGAAGAGCTGTTGGCCAGCTTCGATCGTGTGACTGAGGAGCATCGCTGGAAAGACTGCATTTTGTAGGCTGTCAAAGCAACGGCCTCTTCATATCATTTCATATCTCCGTCTCACAATCCGATAATGTTTCGTAGTCCTGCAAGGCCCACCTGGGCCCGGCAGGTCCGGGTTCTGACTGCTCCGATGGTGAAAGCAGCCCAAAGCATGGCCCGTGTTAACGCATTCGGCGCATTGCAGCCTTGCCTCTTGCAAAAAATCCGTTCGCTGGTTTTCTGTGAAACAATCTTCAGCGTCGACCTCGCATAGTCAATGATTGTTGCACTAGGCCATGTTATGCAAGGGATGGTCAACGTCGGCTTCAGGGGCCAAACGAAGACTGTGCACTGTCGTCGGATTACCTGAAGCATCGGTCAGGTTTTTCTAGAAAAGCCTAGTAAACAGCATGTGCTTGCTCATGCTGCTGTGCGCATGGCACACAGCGCATATTATCGCCATCAATAGATACTGATGCTGACATCCCTTCCTTCGACCCGATATGCACCGGATGATTGTGAGATTGGAACCGTGGTGCAACGCACAGGCAGTTCACAATTCTTTTTCGAGGATGCATCCTGCTGCATTCGTGGGTGAATGTCTGGCAATTTTGGCTCGGGAGAAATACGCTCCCTCGTCACGTGGCGCCAAGCCGTGCGGGCCCTGGTGTTCGCTGAAGTATGTACGGACGCGGGTGGCTCTGCCGTGTTGTGCCCACATCAAAGCTGCCCGAAGAGTAGGCAAGTGCCGCAACAGGATATAACGTGATAAGCTTGTGTATGAACTCGTGCAGATGAGCTTGGAAACGCATTCAGCCGGCCTATCTCCACGCTGCTGTCGCACTCAGGTCTGGCGAGGTGCTGGACTCTGCCAGGGTGTGCAGCTGCTTGAGTGCAGAATGTAAGATGAGTAGAAGTAGTAGCAGTTTCCCAGCACAGAAGCAAAAGGATCTCAAAGGCTTGCTCGGCCGCGCAGTCGTTTGTCCTGGCTCAACCTTTCCCATCATCTTGCTCTTTGGGCACTTGCTGTGTCCTAGCTGCAGTTGTGCTGGGCACTCCCACTTGCCAACATCCCTTGCAAAACTATAGTTCTGGCTCCAAGGACATGTTCTGGGGCTGTATTGTGGCTCCAGGTGAGACCAAGAAGGCTGCGAGTCTGCTGAGATGAGTTTGCCATCCAATGCGGACGTGGGTTGAGAAGCTGTTGGATTGTGCACAGGTTGAGACGAAGGCAGGCGAACTTCTTCACCTGTCCCAGGCTCATGTTGCTTAGGGCGAGCTGTACAAAGTCTTCTTTGAATGTGGCCTGAAAGGGACCTTCCATGGTTTACTTGCAGCCATGATTGAACTGTTGGCGTGGCGAAGCAACTCAATTGGTTAAACTCTTTTTGGGCAAGTGCCTCCAGCAGCCATACGGAAGGGAAGCAGATTGCACAGCATTGGTACTCATTTTGCATGGTGTTGATGCCGATACGATTCTGAGCTGTTCAGGCGTGCTTAGCGCCAGACACTCCCAGTGGAGCCTCTTCAAAAGTTCTCGTGGAGCAGACAGGCCCAACACTCAGCACGAGTTCTTCTCACTCTGAAGTAGTAGGTTAGTAGGTCGAAGTGTAAAAGTCATGACTCAACGAGAGGGCCTCGCAAGTCTTCTCCTCCCAGACTGACACTTTGAAAAGCCTGGGCTCCAGCTCTACCTCCATCGCTCTGCAACCTTGCCGTGCCAGACACATGAACCCGGCTTGCTGGAGGACATATGTTACGGAAAGATATTTCGTCCAGATCCTGAGAGAGTGGCAATGACAAGTGCTCAGGAGGCTTTGTATCAGGAGGTGGAGCCGTCGGATCCAAGATGTTGGACGCACCCCGTTGTTCTCCTGCCGGTTATGTCGATGCTCCTCGCCCTGTGTGGCATCATCTTAGCAGGCTCCTGTACAGATGCTTTCTGTATGTGGTGCGCAGTCCTGCTGTATTCCGTGGCCTTCAGTGGTGTTGTCTTGCTCGGCGGGACCTGGATCTTGGGATGTAAGTCAGAGAAGGTCCATTCACCAAGCTCTGAAGATGCCATCCCGTATCAGACGGACATTCTTCAGCTGAACGGCGGCGGTCAGATCTTAATGTCCCACGCTCCAGGCCGCCGCACCCGGAATTGTTACCGCAGCCTGAGTGCAGATGTGTCACGCTTGAGGCATCACTACGGCGTGGACATCGTGGTGACGCTGCTCTCGTCAATAGAGCTTGCATCAATGAGCTGTCAGAGCATGGGCGCATGTGTTGAAGCTGAAGGAATGGTGTGGATGCACTTCGACCTTCGTGACAAATGGATTCCATGGAACTCTCAGGCATACTTGTCTTGTCTGGTACTTCCCTTGAAGAGGTACCTGCGTTCCGGGAGCCGGGTGCTAGTCCATTGCCATGGTGGGAAGGGAAGAACAGGTACGCTGGTGGCTGCCTTGCTCATGACATCGGCGGGAGGCCACCAAAGTCTGTGGGAAGCGATCGCTTGGATGCGTCGGGTACGTCCTGGTATGCTTCGCAACCCGTTGCAGCAGATGTTTCTGCTCCATCTGCGAGAATGTCTGCAGCAACTGTGATGGAAGATTGTGCGCGGACACCACTGGTCGCGACTGGGCTCGGCTTGCACTCGAGCAGCGTGGTGGCGCAAAACTTCCTCCTTCCGGCAGAAGCCTTGCTGGCGTGTAGTGGGAAGGCAGCCTGTTGTAGGAGGCGGAAATCGAAGCACCTCAAGAGGCTGCCAGGCCAGGGCAGCTCCCAGGCGCCTTCCGGGCAGCATACCCCGAGAAGCGACGGCATATGCGATGCAGCTAGAAGAAAATCACAGTCGAATGCGTTTTCTTCCGGTGGGTGAAGTGTAGGCTCTTCCTGAGGTCAGACATATGCCGTCGCCTGCCTCAAGGAGGGAGGGCAGGCGCGTTTTTTTTTTTGTCATGGCTGAAGGCTGTGTTGTCCACCTGGCTCTGAGTCTCGACAGGAGTTCTGTGCCCTGGACTTGTTCCTTGATGCCAAAGAGGCGAAGATCGCAGTCAAGGGCAAGGCCTGCTCAGGGTGGCATGTTCTGCTTTTGATACCTCAATTCAGGAGCAGTGCGAAGCTGAATGTATGCAGATGTACGCAATCGTGCTTCTCGGATGCTCTCGGTACGGATCTGGAGTTTCTCGGCTGCGAGGCCACCGTGCACCTAACGGGTTACTTCGAGGCAGATGAGCTGGACGAGGCTCGCTCCCGAAGCTTTGTTGGACAGGGCAGGCGCCGGAGAGACGTCAGAAAAGACAAACTGATTGCTGATCTAGTTCGGATCTTCAGAAATGAAGAAGCGCACATGGCACCGGCTTGTAGGATGACCTTCCTCCTGCAGCACCACAGGCAGTCAACGAAGTCCTGCTTTCTTGATGACACGGGCACTTATTTTTCGGCATGTTCCACAAAGCCCAGGCCTCGCCAAAGGCGAAGGCAGAGCCCAAGTCTTCGCCCAAGGTGGGCACAGCATATGATGTGTGAATCGTCGTCACGTCGTCGTTGCATGATCGGCCAGGCGGCACCCAAGAGCTCTCCGAAGGCAGCCCCAAAAGCATCGCCCAAGGAGGCCGCGAAGGCCAAGGCCGCCGCAATGGAGGCACCGACTGATTTCAGTTTCAGGAGTAGAGTGGGATGGATTTGGGGCTCCAGGATGAAGGTTCAAGTCACGATCAATGCACGAAGCAAGCAGGCCATGGACAGCCGTAAAACGGGCCTTGACGGAGCCCGGAACAGGAGGACGACGATCTCCTGGAAGGGGAGGAGGGTGAAGAGGAGGAGCCCAAGGAGTCTGACGAGGCGCAGGGCCGGGTTTGGGCAGTTTCAAAACAGATGCGATGTTTGTCCTTTGTTTCAGGTGGTGAAGCCGGCAGCCAAGGCCTCCCCCAAGGCAGAGCCGAAGAAGGCATCGCCCAAGGCGGAGCCGAAGAAGGCTCGCCGCTTTTTGATTCTTTGCAGGTTCTGTGTTCCCTTCGTCTCGCCTTTCGGTCAGGCCACTCTTGAAGACGACGAGGCACACGTGAATACCAGCTGGAAGCTGGCATTCAGAATTAGCGGATGATCTTCTGCTTGGGAGAATCAGTGGTCTGGAGATGCGAAAGCTTTGTAACTCGCACTGCGTGAGCCTTTGAGCTTTCATTGCTTGTTGTCGCAACAGGATGACGACATGGAGGAGGAGGAGGAAGAAGAGGCAACGCTTTCGCACATATGATATGGGACTATCTCCTGAGCAGATATCTGCTGAACCGGAGAAGCTCAAGATACATGAGGTCATTCCCCAGCCGAAGGTAGGTCCTCCCCGCTGTAGTTTTTGCAAGCAAGCGCTTTAGACAATTTTCCGAAGGGGGTGGCACGACGTGCTACAATTTCCGCTTGCAATCGGTTGCTCTGCACAGAATCTGAGCCAGGGCGCGGAGGACGACCCCGTGGTCAAGCCGCAAGGCTTGGCTCTCAAGACACGGAGTTGCCGCTTCAGACGCCAAAACTCCACATCTGCTGAGGCAAAGCTGAGGCCAAGGGAAAGGCGCGGAATCATGCTAGCTTGGACCGATCCCAAGCCGAGCACTCCTAGGGCGACACGGCTTGGACTGAAGCCAGAAGGCTAAGCTACTTCGGAAGACGTGTGCAGCCTGTGCAGCCGCAGGCTAAGGCGGCCCCGATGGGTGACGACGATGTGCCTCGGCAGCGCCAAATTGATCGAGCTGACGTTCCGACGAGTCTTTGCATTCCGCTCGTCTTTTGTGAGGATGACGAGGAGGAGGAAGAAGAAGAGGACATCCACATTTCCTTTTCGACTGCAATTCCAAATCGACAATGATCTCACCTGGTGAGGACGACGACGACGATGATGAAGTGGACGAGCCACCTGCACTGGCCCCGGCCGTAAGATAGCCAAGGAAGATGATCTGCCCCGTCTTAGCTGGTGCACTGGTTATGCAGCAGTCACTACTTCGTTTGGCTGTTCCGACTGCTTTCAGCATCCCCCCATGTCACCTTGTTCAATGCCTCAAGGCGAAAAAGTTCAAGGGCGACGGAGGCTTGACTGGAACGAGGTCTGTATACAAGTCTTGACACTGTGCTGCTGTGTGAAGGCCGTACTTTCCGAGGTGCTCTTTGTTTTCTCTCGCATGTACGTTGTGCGCACTTGCTATTACAATTGGCGCAACTTGCGTGGCCAAGGAAAGGGCAAGGGAAAGAACAAGGGAAAGGACAAGGGAAAGGACAAGGGAAAGGGCAAAGGGAAAGGAAAGGACAAAGGAAAGAAGGGCAAAGGAAAGGGTGGTAAGGTGCGCTTGTGTGATGCAGGTTGTTCACTTTCACTCGACTCTTCCTGCAAGATCCTGGAGCCTTGCTAGCATGTGCCAGCGTGAATGCAGGGGAAGGGAAAGAGATAATTGGGCGGACATGCTTCGAGGCCGATCAATTGATGGGTGTTTTCATTTACTGACGTCAACCCTCCTGCGACTCGTGCCCAGGGAAGGCTGCCCACCTTGGCGACACCTGGAGTGAGCCAGATGATACCAGAGAGAGCTTGAACTCGAAAGGCCAAGCAAAGCAAGCTGAAGCAATCGTGCACAGTTCAAGCTCGCGGGGAGCAGTGTTTTCTTGAAACCTTCCCTCGGTTTATGCTGATCTAAACAGGTAAAGGTTGTTCCATGAGCAACCTTGATGTTGAATCTGTGTATGGTACACGCATGGAACGTGCGGGAGCAAAGACTGTCAACTCCAAGCGTAGATCCGACGGAGGTCATCCTTCAGGTTCCATGCCAAAGAACCTGGAATGTGAATTTCCCATTGCACTGTTACGTCCTGGTGCGGTGCTGCACGGATGCACTCACATCCGAGAGTGATTGTTGGTCGTCCCTGTTTCCTACTACATGCGAAGGTTCGTAGACGATGTCAGTGTTTCTGTGGCACTCTGGCAGATGTCAGACTGTCTGGCAGCCATCGCCTCCTCCGGCCCAGCGCGAGGGGGAGGGCACACAGGACGGCGCCATTCTAAGACTCCTATTTGGATATAGGAGCAATCAGTTTGCCGATGTAGCGATGGCTCACGCCTTAGGGCTGCCTGAGCCCGCAGAATCATGATTGACTCGTGGCCAGCAAGAGCAACAAGTGCATCGTCGCAGGGAGCAGAGGTGAGGGCTTCCAATGTTGCTTCAAGCACCAGGCAATACTATACTCTAGGAACCATAGCGCCAGCACCCTGCCGTATCAACCGACAGGGTGCAGAAGTGAAGCCGACTCCCGAAGCTCTGCACCTGTGGCTCTGCAATGCAGAAATCAAGCGGTAAGCTTCGAGGTGCTATGGGCAAGAAGCCGGGAAAGAAGGAGGAGAAGCAAACCAGGCAGTGTCGTGCAGTGATCTCCTTGGGCCGATCATGGCATCAGCACGTCAGGTCGCAGTGGGAGGGGAAACACCCGGAGCCGAAGTCAAGAGTTGATGAGCGGAAAGTGGTGGCGACAGTGAAGCTGCTTGGCGGCACATGCTGGAAATTCATGGATTTGGAATGCCGCACGGCAACGCTTGCAAGGCTTGCTGCACCAGCCCGGGGCCTTGGATTGTGACATCATGTGGAAAGCTTACATCTACTTCGCATTCGTCACTTGGTCCTATCTGATAGGACCTATCACCTGCAGTTTCGACCGGCGTTTCCAGAGCATTCCTCCTACTGCAGATGTCGCGACCATCTTTCACCCCGCCGGCGATCTTTTACCAGTCTTCCACCGATAGTTGCACACACGGTACAAGGTCTGCAACTTGCTCGAGTTCAAGCTCGACTGCAGCCCTTCCACGAAAATCTCTTTCATAGTTGATCGGATTGTCGACCGCCATGGTTCCTTGGCCTCTTTGGAGCATGTGAGCATCATTGCGGATGACCAGGCTGTTGTTTCAACACCGCAGGTGGGTCCATCAGTGACTTGTCGGTGTGCGTAAACCGCTTTCACCCAGAGGAGGTCGTTGGAAGAGTGCGGCACCGAGTGTTCTGGCTCCGACGCCGCGAGAATAACAGCTCCCAAACTTTGTCCTAAACCAAGGATAAGACACTGGAACAGTGTGGTGTCTTCGGAGGCGAGTGTTTGATATACTACGTGCACGGCTTAGCCTGGGTACCTTTCGTTGTTTTAGATGACCTTGTGACCTGTTGCAACTCAGGATTTCAGTGCCAGAGCCGGAGCATTGCTTGCATGAGCGCAGCCTTCGGAGCACGAATGCCTGAGCAGGAGCAAAGTGTCGTGTGAAGTGATCGGTCAGAAGTATGCAGGCTTCACCTCTGGCGTGCGCAGACTATACCCTGGCTCCGAATCTCAGAAGTTTCTCTAGCTAGGTAGGCTTCGAAGCACATGTTTCACCCTCCATGAAAAAGCGAATGCGTGTCGCATGGTTGTCCTGAGGACAATAAAATTCTGCTCTGCCAGCAGGTACGTGTGACGAAGTGCAAAGTTGCTCTTTGCACTGAGTTGACAGTTAGAGCGTGTACAGCCCCTGCAAAACAATCGCACACTCGTGAAGAGGAAACGGTGCTCCGCTTCCTTGGTCTGTAGAGAGAGAGAGAGAGAGAGAGAGAGAGAGAGAGAGAGGGGATCCCTTCCCTACGACGCTTCTGTTCAGGTGGTTTGTCTTCTGGAGTTTATCTTGTTGCGGGATGCACTTCTTCTCCAGGGGAATCCCTCTTTTGACTTTGAACCATTTTTCATTGCGGCTTGCAAGGGATCACCGTCTCCAGGCTTTCTTTTTGATCTAGGCGCGTTCACTTTTCGTCATTTTGGGTTGCCATGTCTTTTTTCGTTGAGCCGATGCCTTCATGCCTTGATGTTGTGAGCGATCTCTCAACGAGCAAAACTTGCCTCGGTTGAGTGCGCTTTTGTCCCAAACTGCCTCCCGCACATGTCGGGGGCACCAACTGGCGCGCGGGCAAGGGGGGTAACCCTCTCGCCCATAACCCTGCCGAAAGA